TCTTTCTTTCTGCAACATCAACCTTCTTCCATCCTAAATCTGATCATAGGGTCCATCATAATATGATTAGATTTTGAAGAATCTAAATATTTTGTACTTGCATGTAGGCTTATGAATGCATGGAAGTTTTGATCCCAATCTTAGTTAATTGTGAGGGCAACTGTGAATTTTTCTTGGTTGAGGAGCTAGAATGAATATACCCATTCCGGACTGTACAACTCCTCTGTTTTTATTTTTATTTTTTAAATCTGTTCATACAATCAACCATGGAAAAAATTGCTAGCTTGGTAGAAGCAAGAGTTGGGGATTGGGGCATACAACCTGTATAAGGGTCACTTTTTTGAAGAAATTCTAATGCCATGAAGTTTGAGTTTGACAATGGCATATTAGTTTCTAAAAAGCAAAAGAAACAATGGCATAATTTCTAGTTCTTGATGATGGCATATGGAGAATATTCTAGAAACCAACTTAACCTCTAGGACTTCTTGCCATATGGAGAATATGCTAGAAACGAACTTAACCTCTTGGACTTCTTAGCATTCTATTCATTTTCGGTCTCACTTGCGTAGTTAGCCTTTTAGTTCTGCCACCTAGTTAAATTATTGCAGAATGCCTTGCTTTATGTTACCTTAGCAACAGGGGTTAAAATGATCTTGGTACATCATGGACGCCAATCCAATCCAAAATTCTTGAACCAAATTGAAGAGTTTATTTCTTATAGCTGTCATGAATTTTCTGGTGTTTGAAGCAAGTGATTGTAAATTGTATGCTTAAAGTGTTTGACTTTTCCTTATAATGGAATTTATGGTTGGATAAGCATCTAGAAACATATTAACTTGATCAGAAATTTCACAAGGCTTGTAGGTGGAAGTTTATGTTGGTTTTTGAGATAATTGAGCTGATCACTTCCTGTACATATATCAGGAAATTGATCAAGGCTGTGTTGTTTTGTGTACATGAATGTTTGAACAGAACTTATAACAGGTTCCATATACAGCTTGACTCGCTTTGGTTAACACTCTGCTTAGCAAGTTGTCATATCCATATTGTTGGAGATGGAGGAGCTACGGCAACTCTCCCAAGCATTTATATCAATTTCACAATGTTTCCGGGAGCTAATCATGTCACGGATCATTTATCTAAGAGGGCTTCTCATAGCTAAGCCTTTCAAATTTCATGGATTTTGGATGTCTCACAATGATTTCCCTCAGCTACTTCATAAGGCATGGCGTACTGAATTTCAAGGTGACCCTATGAGGACTTTCTGTTTGAAACTGAAAGAGGTAAAGAAGGCATTAAAAGAGTTAAATAAGAAAGAATTCTGGGATATCTCTGCCAAAACTATTCATGCACAAGAGGCTCTATAGTCTGCTCAATTGGAGTCTAGTTCATTGTAGTAGTATTATTGTATAGCTTAATTGGTTGTAGAAGTACTTTTGTGTAGCAGATTCCTCTGCTCTTGTGTACATTCATGTTCTATTCAATAAAATCCCTTTTTACGTAAAAAAGAAATCTTGTCATAGCTGATACACACTTCCGTGGACTCTCTTCTAGCTCTAGCTCGATGATCATTTTCTTTAGATAGAGCATAGATGACTTCTTTCAGAAAGCGTGCTATTAGATGGTACATATGTGTTTACATAGATTCTTTTTAGCTAGCCATTTCGTAGTAGTTGTCATGATTATATTCAGGTCACGTATGCTCATTCCAAACTCTTGTAATGTTTATTTACTTTATGGTTTAATAAAATAAAAGGTTAGCATCCCTCATCTATGAATGGAGTTTGCCATTAAAAAAAAAAAAAGCAGAGAGAGAGAGAGAGAGAGAGAGAGAGAGAATGTCCCTTTCTGTTTAACCGTGGAAAAAGAAAACAATTTAGTGAAGATTGATAAGAAAAGCAATGACTTCTTCAGTGATTGTTAGTCGTATTTTATGCGATATTGAGGATGATACCTAGTTCAAAGTTTAAAAAAAAAAATCCTCCATGAAGGAAAATTTGAACTCCGAAATTTCTTTTAAGAAAGCTTGGTATGATAAAAGGAGCTATTGAGCTTGTTTATGGCATTTGGGGCGCAACGGATCTTCTGTACCACACCCTGTCTCACATCCTGTCCCACTCCTTATAATCTTGCAAAGTGTCCCTTAATAACCAAACCTTCAAACAACCCAACTCGAACTATGTTAAATTGATTAATCGATTAACCAGACAGAAAACTTAATCTCTTTAACCAAAATCAAGTAAAATAAAAACTCTTTAACCAAAATCACAATTTATCAAATTAAAAAACCCTAAAACCCAAACAACCTCTGTCCTCTCTTCATCATCTTCACCATTCAAGCAGACAACTTGATGATCCGTTGCGCAATTTAACATGCATCACTGACGCCCACAAACATTCCCGCACTAGACTATCTTTCTACCCCATTCACACACACAAATTTTGCAGACTAAAATCTAGCAGGAAAATTCAAGATTTCTGAGAGGAACCCAAGTTTTATTTTCCTTTTTCCTTGCTGGGTTTCTTCGAGGAACTTCCTTTCCATACCAAAAAGGGTTTGCAGGAACATGCATTGGCATTGCACATGGGAAACATTGTTTTAAACGAAGATGAGATAAAGCCTGAAGATCACGGCGTGCTCATTAGACAAACGCACATCAGGTATATGAACAAAAACACGAGTACTTCGTCAAATTGTAGACTTGAAAACAAGAATGCAGCAGCTAGCTTATTAAATATCCACTATGAAAATAATAATTTTGTTGATTGGTAAACCAAATTTAGATTAAGTTATCAATATTGGCTCTGCCTCGTGGGTGATGAAGGAAAAGTAAAGCTATATGCATGACTGGGACGGGGGATATAAAAACATGAGCAATGTAAACTGGAACATGATGATCTTCAGGTTTGTTAAAAAACATTTCTTTTTTCCTTCCAAAAGTAACTTGCCATAACTTCTAACCTCGTGAAGTAATTCATTCTAAACTTTTATTTGAATATTTTATTCTTTAGATGATAAAACTACATTGAAGATATATTTTGTCATTGATATTTTTAATTTGTGGTTGTCTCTCTTTAATTATATCAGGACTTTGGAATCCCAATAGAAGACATCTGCAATAGGCAAAATATTAAGAACATGACACAATTATTACAAGTAAGTGAATAGTATGCTTTTTGTAGATATTATGTCAACCATTAGTTGCATGTTGTTTCTTATTTATCTTAATTTTTTCCAAGTATTATAGTTTTGCAAGTTTATAGCTGTTTGTTTGTATGTGTGGTCTTTTATTTCTTATTTTTCCGGCAGACGTTGGACCCTTCTACCAAGGCTATGATTTGATGTCTTCAAGTTTAATAGCACAACAACATGCATCAATAAGTTTTGCCCAAGTAAGAAAAAACCTTGATTAATTATTTAATCTTATATATATATTAGTTTGATAATTTACAATTATAATTCAATATATTTGCTGACTTAGCATTTGTTTTTGTAGGCACAAGAACTTCAAAATAATGATGATACTGATCAACAAGTTGCTAAAGATGAAATTGAAAATGGGAAAATTGAATAAAGATGCTTCTGAAGAAATGGAGGACGAGATTGTGGGATTGCATTCATAGATTAGTTAGGCCTTTCAATGGAATAATACTTTGTGCTTATACTTCAATTGATTTTGATATTTTTGTTTAAGTTTGTGCTAATAAACGTTCTTTTGACTAAACTGTAGAAGAGAAGATATACTAGTTGATGCAACAAGTCAAGAGATTGCGTTTCTATTTGTTAATGGATTTGAATAGCATAATGTTTCTGTATTGATGCTTATACATTCAGCACCAGATATACCTGATACTTGTTGGTATAGAAGATTGAAAAATGCTCAAGGCCAAGGAAAAGTAAATCTCGGGTATGAAGTGCTCTGGATTCTTGATGCATACAAGAAAGCGTTTTTGATGGTGTTTTCTTCTGGTTCTCTTTCTGTCAACTCATGAAACAGATGATCATTTACATTGCTCATTATACCAATTCAAATTGAGAAGTGTGCTAAAGCTTGATCCGCTGACCGTTGTTTACCAATGTGTTTACTTGCACATTTTTCATGTTTTCGGGTACATCAGTGCTCTAAAATCGACAGGTAGGAAGATGATAATGCAAAAGAATACCATATGAACTTATCATTTTAGATTTAAGATGTATACAGTTGGTAAATGAGTAAAACCACCAATCAGCAAATCAGTTAATAAAAGACTCAAAGAATGTAAAAATCAAATTTCTGTTGTGCAGCCTTTGTTCCGTGGTAGAGAATCTGTTTATTGCATCTGAGCTTCCATTTGATTCTATGGAGAATTAGTATTTCGTGGCCATGCGAAGCAATTGACATGAGGAACACTGCACAAGAATTGTCATCTGTCTCTGATTCTTTTCCAATTCCACTTTGATCTAGTTGGCCTTTGACAAACAGAGATAGAACTTTGACATCTGGAGACGTAAACATATGCAAATGACTTGAACCAGCTCCATCATCTCATCACAGCAGGGAATAAGAGTGCCGAAGTACTGTGACTATAGTTGCTGTATTTGATTTGTGCCAAAGTAAGAGAGCCTTTGGACTTTTTCCCATAATGTTTGAAAGAAACTATTGAAATTCAAAAGAAGATATCAAAAGGTAGCCTCCCTGGCTGCTGATGCTGTACCATGTATATCAGTATATGTCCATAAACCAGGCCCTATACACCTTTGCACCCTTCTCTTTAGCACATTCAGCCATCCAACTCATACACTGGCTCTCATGGTCAGACACAGTCAACATTCAGCCATCCAACTCAAGAACCTTTTCCTCTCCTGCTCTTCTTGTCCATCATCAAGGTTGCACGAGAATGATATAGGCTTCCATAGTGAAAGATGCATTAACATGAATCTTTCTTGGTTTCTCCAAAACCAATCTAACGACTTTCCACAAAGCAGAACAAATTCAAGAAATGAAAATGTTTTTCTTTTATTTTTCCAATATCAGTAATTTATTCATTGGCTGAAATATTCAAGAACAAGAATAGAATAATCTAAATGAGTTTAGACTTGGTTTAAAAGAGGAGAAAGGGCAACTAAGCAATCAGCATCTATCAAGAACTTAATTAAGCATTTGTATCCAAACTACAAGACTTTTACCTAACTTTTCCAGAACAGTTTGGTTCATCTTCCTTTTAGGCATTTGATCGAACAGGTGGTGAGCTTCGTCCAATTGCCCATTGAGAGCACAAAATCTGATGAGCTTTGACCAAACAACAGAAGCTAAATTAACTTTGCATCCAAAAACAAAACTTCGGAAGTGGAAAAACCCATTACCCGATGCAAATTTACACTAAAACCAAATATTTTTCTACAAGAAGAAAGAGCTAAGAAGAAACCCAGCAAGGAAACTGCAACATTCCGAGAGAAACTACTCGTTCGAGGCTTATTTGCAGCCATCAGAAAACTTCTGATTTCGACTCTTCCTACAAGAGGAAAAAGAAATTTCTGGAATTAGATACATGACAAAAATTAAGCTACCATATAAGACAGAAAGCTACAAAAAGGAACCCTCATATCTTAGCAAATTAGGAATCTTTAAACTACAATTCCTAGGTTCTGGCAAAGAACTAGAGGAATTTTTATTGCAAAAAAAATAAAATAAAATAGAGCATTTCGTCATTTCAGCATGCAGGTTTTCAAAGACTAGTTGTGGATAACTGATTGAGCCGTATAACCTACGTTCAGAAACTACAGGTTCAGCTTCTCGGAGGCATTTTGTCAAGCTGCTGGTGTACAAAATGATCAAGCTAGCTATAACTTCACTAGGATTATATGTACACTCAGTTCAAGCCTCAGTACCTTTCTGCCGGAGAAGCCTGATGATATTACTTCTTTCTGGCTTTCAAATTGTGGTTCTTGAATACTTGAAACCCCGAAAGTTGGCAAAACAGAGAAAAGGAGGCAAAGAAGGTTCCTCGAAGAAACCCAGCAAGGAAAAAGGAAAATAAAACTTGGGTTCCTCTCAGAAATCTTGAATTTTCCTGCTAGATTTTATCTGCAAAATTTGTGTGTGTGAATGGGGTAGAAAGATAGTCTAGTGCGGGAATGTTTGTGGGCGTCAGTGATGCATGTTAAATTGCGCAATGGATCATCAAGTTGTCTGCTTGAATGGTGAAGATGATGAAGAGAGGACAGAGGTTGTTTGGGTTTTAGGGTTTTTAAATTTGATAAATTGGGATTTTGGTTAAAAGAATTTTTATTTTACTTGGTTTTGGTTAAAGAGATTAAGTTTTCTGTCCAATTAATCGATTAATCAATTAACATGGTTCGAGTTGGGTTGTCTGAGGGTTTGATTTATTAAGAGACACTTGGCAAGATTATAAGGAATGGGATAGGATGTGAGACAGGGTGTGGTACAGAAGATCCGTTGCGCATTTGGGGTGCCAATTTTGTTGAATTACTGAAGTATGTGGAAGCATCTGTCCAATTAATTAATATTAGTGCTTAGTTAATATCTTCTTTAAACATTACATAAATGCTAAAATAATGCTTTACTCTTGATTATATCAATTATCATTCAGTATGGTTTTAACGTGAAATTCAAGATTAATGGATTTTTTTTTTGCCAATCACTTAATAACCTACAAATTCGTCCTCCATAATTTTACAAAACAAAAAACAAAATTCACACTCTAAAAAAAACAGCTTGCTTAATTTTGTAAAAAAGAAAAGAAAAGAAAAGAAACGCAAGAGCCTTGGATTGAAATATAAAGGGCTCCCTGCCTCGCATAGGTTAAATGCGAGTTCTATGACCTCGCGCCTGACAAATGCGAGGTTACTTGACCTCGCATTTGCCAAATGCGAGGTCTGAAGTAACTCTTTTTTTTTTTTTCCCTTTTTTGGATTGAAAATTCAAGGCGACATCGCATTTGTCAAATGCGAATGCATTCAGTTCGCATTTTACAAATGCGAAGACCCCTTGACGGAAGTCTACACTTAAAACACTCATTTTGTAGAAACTTTTTAAAATTCATCGTCAAATTGGAAATTTCTCCTTTATTCCTACAGAGATGAAATGTACAGTCTCAACTAATTCTTGGAGAGAACTCGATATAAACGTCTCCCTGCCGGAAATGGTATATAACAACCCGCGCTTCTCTGTTCAATTTAATGGCTGCTTCCATTGGTGCACACTGTTAACTGATTCTTTTGTCTTCAAGATCCTTTCTTTTGACATGAGCATTGAGCAATTTCTAGAAATTCAATACCCTGATGGAGCAGTAGACCTTGAAGTAGGAGAATTTGGCATGCAGAAACTCATTGACTTGGACAATTCACTTGCCATGATATGCTATGCTAATCCAGAGACGCAAATTTCGGATAAATATTTTGATATATGGGTGATGAAGGAGTTCGGTGTGCAGGAGTCTTGGGATAAAAAGTTTTCCATAGGACCACTCTCAAGGATCGAGGGCCCATTATCTTCATGGAACACTGATAAACTGCTTTGGGAAATGAGCAATGGACAGTTGGCTTCATGTGCTGTCCTAGGTGATAATCAAGGAAGTCTTACAAAATACAACATTCATGGGTTTCCAACGACTCTGCAAGCAGATATTTATCATGAAAGTTTGGTTGATCTTGGTGAACTATGCGGTCGTCGAATGAACTGAACTGGAGATCAAATGAGGACTTGGAACAATCATGCTCATTAGATGTGCTTTTTATTGCTCGCATTTTCTTGGTTTCATGTCTTAGCTTTTACAATAAGTTTTTTCTTCGAATCATATGTTAGAAATTTGAGCTTTATGATTATTACTAGGTGCATGTTTGATCTCTGAGCCTTCTTTATTCTTGTTATATCAAAGTTAAAGAGGAGAAGAATGAGTTCCCCCTGGTTTCTCATTATACAATTATTCTGTCCTTATTGCTGGTGATCCTTTTGTTTTTGAAAGAGATGGGAGTTGTAGCAATGGAATGAAATATTTATCCCTTACATTTGCTTTGGATTACTTTAGGAACCGGAATTTGCAACTGGCAAAATGAAGCAAAATGAAGAATCAAGTAACTTAATTTAATAGGGGAATAAGTTGGATGATACCAAGAAAGAGAGCATGAGAGGTCCGGAGTTGAACCCTCCCATGTACACTTAAAAAAAAGGTAACTTAATTTAGTAAATTGTATGGACAACGGAAAAGGGATTTTGCATGTTAAGTTCAATTCCAAAAAAAACTAATATTCAACCTAGGTTTTTAGCATTCTGGAGTCAGCTGCATGAGTCCTGCTGGACTTCAGTTTTTTCAAGAGTGAAAGCTTTCAACTTGTGCTTCTTTATGATTCTGTCGAGGGAATTTGGAAACTATGGACTAAGTTCCTTTTCAACATGTGCCTGTGTCTGCCGCAACATTGTCGCAGTACATAAGCAACACGGCTCATGCATGATACCTTTTTTTTCTTTTTATTTTTATCAAACGAGCCACGTGTTATATACTTGGCCAAAGAAAAAGTAAGCATCTTGACCATAAAATGTTGCTTGTTTAAAATGGAAAAAATTCACTTTTCATCCTTAAATTTTGAGTTAGACACACGTCACATTTAATCTAAAAACAGAAAAATATTCAATTTGGATGGAGAAGGCCGATGTGACTGTTAATTTTGACTAAGAAATTGTTTTTACGTAACGACCACATACCAAACACGTGACTTTGAGCGTTTGAAAAGCACCGGTAATTAAAAATATTCTCTGTGGGTTTGATCTTTAATACCCTATACTCATTCTCCACTCGTATACTTGCAAAAAATAGCTTGTGGGGTATTTAAGAATTATAAATATAAAACTTGATTATGAATGAACTAATTGTATATGCATGCCCTGCCCCACACACGTCATAGCATATATGTAAGTTGTGATTTTGTGTCACTCTAACTAGAAAATCAAAGTAATTATTTTGAAAAATGAATAGCGTGCTTGAAACTCTGGAAAATGAAGGCAGTATTACATAACATATTGAAGAGATTTTGTAACAAGATGGTATGCCTTTTTTTTTTTTTTAAGTAAAATTTGGATAGGTTCGGTTCAGATCACCACCACATATCAGGCATGTCCTTAGATCATAGGTCACTGTAAGCTACACAAGTTAGTCCAACAAAGCTCATTATCATTTTTCGTATAAAAAAGTAATAGAAAACAAAATATTTGTTTAAGATTCTAGTATCAATCCGTAATCAAATCATATTATAGTGAAGCTATACTACTTACCGGAATGAATATGTCAAACCTTTAGCAATAGATTGCCTAAACCTCAACAGGAATATGAATGATTTACACGAGTTGTAAATTGTTTGATTCTCTAGCCTATAAGTTCTTGGGCACTAAAGCAGACTTTGCAACTTAGCACATGAGCAACATAGCTCATGTATGGTACCATTTTTTTTCTTTTTATTTTAATCAAACAATTCACATGTTGTATACTTGACCACAGAAAAAGTGAACATGTTGACCATAATATGTTGCATGTTTAAAATTAAATAAAATACAAATGCTATTACACCTTTTACTTTCCCAACTCAACAATAGAAATCAATTTATCAAACTATCACCAATTTTTCCAGTCTTATGGAATGGCGGATTAGTCATTAAAATTTCTTGGGTATCAAATACATGTTTGCAAATAGTTGATACATGGTTTAATGGTTTTTCTTTTGCATATTTTTCCTTTCTCCTGTCAATTTATGCCATAGAAACCCCTCCCAAATAATATGACCCTATGGACCAATAACATCAATAGATTTAGTACTACTGCTTTCGAACTTTATAGGTTTGGTTTTTTTTTTAACACACAATTTAAGAAAAGTTAGCTAATTTTGTTGGAAGAATAAATCTAGGTTATTATCTTCCTAAATTTCCCTTACATTAAATGGAATATGACTAATTAGGTTTACATTAAATAAGTTAAGTTATACTCAGTAACAACTTACATTAAAAAAGAGCATTTTAAAGAAATTATAAGTTAACTACATTTTTCAATTGAATAGTGGATTGTAACTTAGAAGAATGAAAAAGGAAAATAAACCTATCAAAGCAGGACAGAGGGAGTAAAATTTAATCAGCAGTTCTATAAATGGGCTTAGTTATCACTAATAGAAGTATAATCTTCCACTCTCCACAACCAAAATTTTTATGTGCTAATCGCTATACTGTCGTTGGGATGATGGGCATAGTGTTTAAACTTATCCTTCCCATTCTCATGCTTTGCCCCCTGACAATCAACTCAAGCTTTCAGTACCTTACTTTTGTGCAACAATGGCCGAGAGGCTATTATACTGTTAATCTAGCTAATCCAAACAGATGTCAAAGAAACCCTCTGCCAACTGTTTTCACAATCCATGGTCTTTGGCCGGGCAACTTCACCAAAATTTTGCAAAGTTGCAATGGTTCTCAATATACTCGACTACGGGTAATTTCTACAGGTCTTTCAAATGTCTTGAACATGAAATATGCACTTGCACAGGTTCACTAATGTAATGATCATTCTTGTAAGCAGAATTTCCAGGATTGGAACAACAGAAACATACGGTGGCCAGACCTCAACAAACCATCACCAACTGTACAAACCTTTCGACAGCCGAAGTTTTAATCGTTTTGGAGACATGAATGGAACACGCATGGGACGTGCTCAGAAAACGTGTATCCCCAAGCTACATACTTCAGCAGGACTATTCAGCTAAGTCAAGGACATAATATTTTGAACTATCTTGCCATGGGCAATATACATCCCGGCAGCAATCCTACCATAAGTTCAGTGAATTCTACTTTTTACAGAGCTATCAGTAACCACGTGCCAGATTTGATGTGCGTGACTCCTCCCCAGCAAACTGCAGTCTTGGTAGAAATTGGAATTTGTTTCACTATTACCATGATGACGATTATTGATTGTCCTTCACAATTTCTACGAACTGGGAGTTGTGGCACTGGTACGATAAGTTTCCCTGCATAAATCATCTCACCATTTCAACCACACTTAGTACTTCCCCACTAAAAATGATATTGAGCATCATTATTGTGGTGGAAGATCATGTAGCAAATAAAATGAATTCTGAGATGAAGTGTATGAAATGAGAACAATGAAGGCAAATAAAAGTTACTACATTACAAGAGAGCTATTATAGTATTACCGACTTGCTATGGGATTTCATTCATTTGTCAGCTTTTAGATTTCAAGCAGAAGCATTAAACTAAATTCAATCACTAAATTTAGTTTGTTTTCGTTACTTAAATATAAGTTTGTGTCAACATTCGTCTATATGACCATGCCTTGAAACAAATTTTTAGGTTTGGGGCGACAAACAATGTGTGCAGAACAATTGCACCCAAAAGTTGTAAAAAAAAAAAGACTTTTATAGTTCTATGAGATGTAATCAGTTTACACTGCGTTCAGATTGAACTTAATGGAGGACTTATGCACATCAATTGTTCCTCCCTTGTTAACCAGTTTAGATCGTGCTAGAAATAACATGAACAATAAATAGTTCATGCTCTAAAGCTGAATGTAGATGGATCTTCTTTGGGTAATCCAAGACTTTTAGAAGAAGTGGGGATTATACTCGACAATTTTGGTAATAAATTATTAGGGCTTTCAATTTTCTTCAACCTTAAAACTAATGCAGAGGCTGAATGTCTAGCACTTTTAGATGGTGTCTGCAGCATTTGCCTCAATCAAGTTACTATCAGATGGGGGTGGACATAGGCTCCAAGATTTTGGTGCAAATGATAGGGGCAAGACAATAGTTCCGTAGAAGGTCAGTACCATTCTCCACCAAATTAAGAGTATGATTCAAGGAAAGAAACTTCGCTTTTACTCGGACATTAAGATTAACAATATCTGTGGTCGATGCTTTGGCAAATCTAACTAGCTCTACCCAGACAAGTAAAACGTACAATCATCTCAATTTACAAAGCTGGTTAGAGGCATGGTAAATTGGATAGAATCCCTTGATTTTTGTAATCCTCAATTAGCTTGGATGGGAGTAGTAACCATTGTTTAAATTTTGTTGCTTCTACATTCAAATGTAATTTCCAAGAGGTTAGGTATATGCCACCCTGTATTATCTTAATAAAATTTGATTTGACATCTCACCCCATCTACATGGTTTGCGATTAAAAACAAAAGATGGTATAGCATATAAGTAGTTTTCATGTTAAAAGATAATCTATCCAAAAATAAAAAACTATTCGCTAAAATACCAATTCCTTTATCAACATTCATATCTAAGAGATTTAAAAAAAAAAAAGATAACTGATCTAAAAAAATTGCTCAAATACCAATTTGCTTTTCAACCTTTACTTTTAAGATTAAAACAATTACAATTTAGCATAAAACTCGTGTTTACTATTGGCTTCTTTTGAGAAGAGAAAAAAAAAGAAAAAAAAATCAAGGCTCAACTTTGTATGATATTCTATTAATCTATTTGGCCTAAATATAAGAGAAAACTATAGTTTTGGTCCTAATGTTCAGTTGATGTGCGAACTGGATCCTAATATTTCAACCAATACAAATGAAATGCCCAGAGTTTCTAATTTTAGGTCAATTTAGGACAACTAAATATTACAATATTTAATGGTGAAAAACAAATTGGGATTAGGCAAAAGTTTTAATTTTACATTTTTGGTCCA